CCCCTCTCCCGGAGGGGCCCGCCTCCTCTCCTTTAAAAGGAGCAGGAGAGAATGTAGAATTGTCAACTGTACAATGGGAAGGGGTCACTTTGACTCCTCCCTAGAACTGCCGGTTTTCAAGCCGCTTTGTTTCACTTCCACATCTGGCGCCTGGTCAGATGTTTCACTAATCGGCACCCTGTGGGAGGAGCCGTCTGAGTTTGAGATCCTGGCAGTCTTTTTTGTTCTGGCCATCATGCTCTGCATAGACACAGATACAGTCGGACTTTGTATAAAGGGCAAAGATGGGTCCAGAAAAGGGCAGGCGGCACTCCTAGTCCTAGATTCAGCCGTCCCCGATGACCGGCTGATCACTAACCTAGGTCGTGTCGTGTGCTTCCGTGGTGCCATTTCAAAAAAAGAATAAAGTAAAGAGAAAATTAAGAGTAAGAGAACCGACGGTTACCTGAACGAGTGACGATTGATGAAGTTATGAAAATCCTTTGCAGTCGGCTTGTCAGAGCAGGCGGTAGGCAGAAAGGGTCCAAAATGTCAGAGCAAGTTCAGGGGTCTGAATGTTCTCTCACAAAGTTTTCAAGTGTGAAAATGACCGAAGTCAACACTCCTTTATATAGGCGAAGTGAGAAGGCGAAGGGTCACTTCCAGAATTCAAAATTTTGGCGGGAGAATCTCTCGGCCTCTCGCCGAGTGACACCTGTAGCAGGCCGTCGCCTGTTACAGGGTGATACCTGTCACAGGTAACACGCGACCAGTCACGTGCCACCTGTGAGGGGCAAATGATTAGGGGATTTTTCCCACCAATCACCATCTGACAAGTGGACCAATCAGGTTCCTCCATGTGTCCGTCACATGGGCCAATAGGAGCCTGCCACGTGTCAAGCAATGATCCGTCCACTATGGACCAATTACGACACGACACGTGTCCTTCCCATGACACCTGGGATAACTGGTCACCAAGGCCCAACTTCCGAGGGAAGCCCAATCAGCCCAAGGTTAACCTAAACCTAGATTGGCACGTTTCCCGAGGTTATAAATACCTCCCTTAATCCTCATTAAGAGAAAAAACGCAGATTACACACATTAAACTCTCTCACCTAGAGAGACCCAATCACTTTAATTTCCGCATTAATTACTCCTTAATCAAGTACTAACTTGACCGTCGGAGGCGGATCTCCAATCATCCGTAGCATCCGTTTGTTTTGCAGGTACAGGCGTCCGGTTCCAGTCTCGGAATTGTAACTCTCCCGCAGGACATCAGAAAACCCCGAAACAGATGGCATTGGTCTGTCTCACTTACCCAGGATCATGTTTAGGCATTTTGACTGGCTGTTGATTTCTGCTTTTGTTGAGAGATGGCAACCAGATACGAACACGTTTCACATGCCATTTAGGGAGATCACGATCATGCTGCACGATGTGTACCATATTCTTGGGCTTCGTGTTGATGGTTCCATGGTTTCCAATACTCCTAGCACAGATGTCATACGGGACGCGTGCTCGGTTACCATGGATATGACTGCGGAAGAGTTGAATGAAAAGTGCGGTACTAAAACCATTTGGCAAGGTAGTGAGGTGCTGACCGAGAGGATTTTGGATACGACTTTGTAGGCGCAGAGGCCCTTCAGTGTCCATTATACTTCCTACATGTAGTTAGTACTTGCCGTATCATTGTTTTTGGACAAGAGTGGTAACCGCACTCATCCTTCCTTCCTCAACGAGCTTGTTGTTGGTGATCTTCCGATTAATGAGTACACTTAGGATTCATCTGCTCTAGCCTATCTGTATCGGCAGTTGGGTACGGCATCACGAAAAGATGCTGATTCGATCGCTGGTTGTCTCACACTTTTGTAAGCGTGGATCTACGAGTACTTTCCGTGCTTTCGGCCTCAGCAGGGTAACTTGACGAGGGAGCTTAGTATTCCTCGTGCGTCTGCTTGGGATGTTGGATCGGGATTCCCTATAAGAGTATGGAGCGCCTCCTCGCTTTTCGTGCTAGACTGGATCAGCTGACTGACCTTGAGGTTAATTGGCTCCCGTACGGAGTTGATCCTGCACGACATGTGCCACCCACTCTATTTATTGGCTGCATCCAGTACCTTACCGTCATTGAGCCATACATGCCAGATCGAGTGGTTCGAGAACTTGGATTCGTGAAGGACATTCCAAGGACCATTATCAGGCATGAGAAGCCCAAGAGACCGAAGAACTTGAAGATGTATCAGGTAGACTTTCCGACCGAGATGACATCTGTGATGTGGACTTGGTTTGTCCCTGGTTCGTCTTTCAGTGTTGTTTTAGGTGCTCTCACCAGACTTGGTGGTCGAGCTCCTACGGTCGCTCCTGGTTAATGCAGTGGCTGTATAGATTTTCTCATCCTTGTCTATCTCCTGGGGGGTCATCAGCTGGGAGTAGCAGTCTACCTGAGAGGACTAACATGGATTATGTAAGTAGTTTTGTTTTATTATACTATTAATACGACTTCAAAAAATTGTAATTTCTATAATATGTTGTTTTCTTATTTGTAGTTGATGGGTCGGTCCATGGAGATTATCAACAGAGCATTGGATGAGTATCCCAACATGTCGCGTGGAACAAGGGCAATGCCTGAGTAGCTCCGAGGTAACTGGAAGGCGATGATGGGGTTGTGAATTACTTGTCTTTCATTTTTATATTATTTATCCTCATTATTTTATATTGCTTAGTATTTGGCATGTAATATAAGAACTGGACACTTTCATATTTGGTTTTGTTGGAACTTTGTTTAATTACTTTTAATAATTTATATTACATAGCTACAACTGTTCAACCTTAGTGAAAGTACATAAATGAGTTCACTACCTAATTAACGCATTCCACATGTTCCTTCTAACTTCATATTACTGATCCCATCCATCAACACTTGGCTCGTGGTGCTCGATCTAATATCTTGCAATCGGGGGAAGAGGTGAATCTTGTGCAAGATCAAGACGGATGAAATGTGACCCACCAACTGTAGCGATCACGAACTCTCGAGCGGGTGCCCTGACCGTGTTTCGTGCCCCGCAACGGTAACACCGTGAGGCATGGGTAGTAGTAGGTTGGTACGGTGCCTACACCGAGAATATCACCCTTGCGTTGAACCAAGTAGCAATAGGAATAAAATCTTGAATTGCAACCATCCAATGTCGTGAATCAATCGCCCCACCATCCCATCAAATACGTTCTACATTCATCTGAAACCTTTTAATCCCATAAATCCTTTTGTACAACATTGGATGAGCAACGACCTCGTTTGCTATTATTTCCCGAGTGTCAAACCATTGCGCTTAATCATCGAAGAAGAAGTCAGCCACACAATGACAGCCAAAGTTTCCATCACCAATGACATCCTTCTATGCCATGATGTAAGGCAACATCGGTCCTGGAAGTAAGTGCAAGTACCTACATTAGCTGATGTCACATTGATCTTCTGCACAAAATTAATGTTCATTTATTAGTACGCTACAAGATGAAATACGTTTATTTCACAATAGGCGTGTACTTCACAATTTCAAATATACTGACTTACTTGAGGTCGTACCTGTTTGTTGTGTACCACGTTGAGTGTTTCAACGATTGACATGTTCGAAATAACAAGGATCACGCCTGGTATCATTGTTCCTTCGTCGACCTCGAACGTTGTGGTTTACATGTGGTTCTTCAAGGTTTGTATGATTCGGATGCAGCTCCTCTTTAATGATGTGAGATACGTTTCAAAGTATAGCAGGATCACTACCAATGACCTCATCAACTAGGGAACGAAAATATGCAGCTTCCTCGGTCGAATCGTGAACGAACATAGGTACATCAACACCATCACCAATAACCAAGGTCTTCTAGAATGGATGAATTTTCCTGATATACAAGCCTGATTGTGCAACTAGTGAATCCTGTATCTGACAAGCACATGGTAAACCATGGATCACACGCATTGCACATCCATAACGCTCATACACCTGAGACACTTTGCCATTTATAGGTGACAGTGGCAATTGTCTGTACTTCTCACCAATTTTTGATCTTAATGCCTCCAAACCATTACGAATTGCATAATCTGATTACCAATATGACAATGTACTTGGGCCCATACGGTATCCAAAGAACCTGCCGTTGATTCAGATTATAAAAAAACGTTATGATTTTTAATTAAAATTACTAAAACGAAGTAAATACAACAACTACAACATTATAACAACGAACCTGTCGATGATTCAAACCACGTCTTCACCGTCGAATGTTGGCTCTCAACTGTACAATTACTCGTGTTACCAAAGTGAAGAACTTGGTTTGTCCAAAATGTCACAAATTTGATTTTATGACAAAGCCATGTTCTCTCAACGTAAGTAATCACTGCCAAATAACTTGCCCACCGAACTTTCATTTATATCTTCAGCAGCATTATAATCTGCCTCGGTTGCAACATCCATGATAAGTTTCCATTTGCCATTTTTAAAACTCACACCGATCCTCTTGTTTTAGAACATATCAGTCACCCTATCCTCCACATCTTTGTTAATATGCCATCGACAAAGTAAATGTGACGTCCCTGGAAACACTACTCTCAATGCCGCACAGAGGCCAAGCTCACGGTCTGACAAAAATACCAACGATTCTTTATCATACCCAATCAACTCCCTTAATCTGTGCAACACCCACCGATAGCTTGTCGTGCACTCGTTGCGCATGAACACATAACCGACGAGGAAATTCTGATTTGTCGGTGTTACACCTACTATCTCAAAGAACAGCATCCCGTATTGGTTGGTCTTGTATGTCGAATCCATAACGATCACATGTGGGTATGTGCGTAGTATGTTTACCGTGATTGGGTGCACCATAAATGCATGTTGTAGAACGCCGAGGTCATCGGCCATGACCCAGTAAATATACTAACTCTGTCTCGCCAAATGAAGAAATTGCTAAACGACTCCTCTGCCTTTAGACATCTCCGTTCTCAAGTCATTCCAGCAATTGTAAATGTGTCAGATGTTTGGCTGATCATCAGGAAATTGCTCTGCAATAGTTGCCATGATGTTACGCGGTGCAACCTTAGACTTTGTCATTTCACGCACAACCTTCTTTGCATCCGGGCTCAAGCCACTAATTTTACGATGACCCTCCTTATACACAATCATTGGATGGTTATGGGTCCCAGTTGCATCATTTTTTACCCGGATCTTCCAACTGTCTGTGATGAACTCATAATATATCTTGATGTAGAAAGGACAACCATTAGCTTTGGTTTTTGCGTCCTTTTGAATTGTGTTCTCAAAATCTCTCGGCATACTCTTTCGTCCCCGATCACATCTCAAATATCGATACGGCCGACCATCTCTGGTTTTGTTGTAAGACGATTTAACCAAAATAAATCCCAGATTTATGAAAACAGCATCTGCCCATTTAACTGCATTATCAAACGTTGGAAAAAATGTGTCCGTAACAAAATTCGCACTATAATTCACACCAACCGCCGTCTTCAAACTCCAAATCCTATAAAAATAAAAGAAAACACACAAAATTCTCCAATATTATTATTTTAATTATAATATTAATAACAATATTTATAAAACAATAATAATACTATAATATCACTAATCACAATAGTAATATATTTAAAACAACAACAACAAGAATAATAATAATAATAATAATAATAATAATAATAATAATAATAATAATAATAATAATAATAATAATAATAATAATAATAATAATAATAATAATATCACAATATTATCACAACATTAACTAATATCATAACATTAACTAATATTAACTAATATTAACTAACATTAACTAATATTAACTAACATTAACTAATATCACAACCTTTACTAAAATTAACTAATACTAACATTAACTAATATCACAACATTAACTAATATTAACTAACATTAACATTAACTAATATCACAAAAATAACTAATATCAACTAATAATACTAATACTAATTACTCAAATTATCACAAAAATAATAATAATCACAATAAAAATTATAATTATCACAATAAATTTGATTAATTGGTTTAAAAAAATGATTTGATTAATAAATCAATAAAATTAAAAAAAAAAAAAAAAAAAAAAAAAAAAAAAAAAAAACAACAACAACAATAACAATAACAATAACAATAATAACACAATAATAACAATATTAATAACAATAATAATAAAAATTATAAACCACATATTTTGCACAACATACTAATAACAATAACAACAACAACAATAATAATAACAATACAAAACAACAACAACAACAACAACAACAATAATAATAATAAATGATTTCATTAATATATCAATAAAATACAAAGAAATTTTTTTTTTTTTTAAAAAAAAGGACTTTCGCCCAGAACATCCGGATCCTCCATGGAGGATCCATCTAAGATTTCCAGATCCACCGTGCAAGATCCGGAAATTCCAGGCGGATGTACACATCCATCCGCCTAGAATTTCCGGATCTTCCATGGTGGATTCGTAAATTTTAAGCGGATCCACCATGGGGGATCCAGGTATTTTAGGCGGAAGTCCCCTTTTCAAAAAATAAAAAAAAAAATTCGACGACTTACAGAATCTGACAATGCCTCCAGTGTACGATCGTTGTCGTCGTTCATTGTCCTAAACCCGTCGCTAAAGCTTAATAAATTTTTTTTAAAAAAAAATATCGAATTTTTGGTGGTGGGCTCGGGAATTTTGGGTTGGATGTGGTGGGCTCGGGAATTTTTTTAACCAGGTGGTGGGTCGAATGTGCTCGGAAATAATATTAAAATGCTCGGAAATCTTTTTAACCAAGTAGTGGAGCCTTATATAGTCTCAAGTTATGAAAAGGGCAAAATGGTCCTTTCATATCAAAATGGGAGCGAACCCCGGTAAATTGGGAGCGACGTTTAGCAGTTCACTAATAGTTTCACCTTATGAAATCAAGGTTATGAGTTCGACTCCGATCAGATACGGAATTTTAAGGGTAGGATTTCCCTAATCCTTCACACACCCACCCACCCACCTCCCCTCCCCAATTGCACAAATCATGTGTAATTTGGCTGGCTTATATGAGAGGTATTAGCCTAGTATGGTTGTTCTTCTTACCTACACATAAATAAATAAATTAAAAAAAAAAAAAGTGTCAATTTTTTTTTTTTTTTTTATGTGTAGGCTTAGGCCATCGGTAAAAATTGTTGATGGCTTTTAGCTATCGGTATTAAAAAAATAATCGATGGTTTTTTACCATCAGCAAAACCGTCAGTATTACGTTTACCGATGGCAAATCCATCGACATTTTCATTTTTTCCGACGAATTGATCTCCGATGACAACCATTGGTAAACGTGATACCGATGGTTTTTTTTTTTATATTTTTACTGATGGAATTTGGCCATCGGTATTTGGCTCAATTATAGTAGTGACTACACACTTTGAGAGCATTCAAATGATTGAAAATTACTTAAAGTATTAAGAAAAATACAAATGAATCGTAATAAAGCACAATGTAAAAGTAGCTAGAAAGTAGCTATAAAAGTAGCATAAATCTGACGTCCCATTAAATCTAATGGATATAAATATGATTCATCACTATTCAATAATTTTTAATTCCCCAAAAACATTCGTTTCAACAATATCTTACTCCATTCGACTCACCTTCGTTAAACTTAATATCAATCAAATCAATGTACTCGGAAAAATAGAGGGAATACTCCTTACCCCTTTTTGTTTCATATTCTTGTTTATTGTCTTTCAATTAAATTTGTTTTTGAAAATTATGTCTCTCAAATCATATCAAACCTAGATCCTATAACAAGCCACAAAATAACGACATTTGACATTCTAAATCTTTATTTAAATGTGGTGCCACGTAGATGACAACAATGCATTAGTATGACGCATATAATGTCAAATAAGTGAAATTTGGATAAATGTCTAGGATAAAATATTATAAGAGTTATATATATTTACAATAATTCTAATTATGTATAAATTGAGACATAATTTTTAATAAATATCTTATAATTTTATTACTCCCTCCGTCCCATAATTTTGTGCCTATTTCTAAAAAAACACGGTAATTAAGGAGAATGGTGGAAGTAGGGAATATTTTAATGTAAAAATAAAAAGTAAAGAATATTGTATGAGAATAATAACAAGTAGAGAATATTGTATGAAAAAGAGAAAAAGTAAGTAATGATTGTAATATTATATGAAAAAGAGAGAAAGTAAGTAATGATTATTTGGGTATATGTGTATTTTGTATGGGAAAGATAAAAAGTAAGTAACGATTATGTTTTATTTTTAGAAACAAGCACAACAATTTGGGACACCCAAAAAGGAATACAGGCACGGAATTATGGGACGGAGGGAGTATTTTTTTTCACTGTAAAACTCATTTTAAAATTACATTTAAACAAAATCTAATATGAATATATTAAGAAAAATTGTCAAAATTATTATAGATTTGGTTGGTCTTTATAAATAAGATGGCCTTTTTTATTATCCTAAAATAATTCAACCTTTGGGAGGTATCTGTTTTGAACAAGTAGTGACTTGCTAATGACATAGTCAACTAGTCAAATGAGACATTGTTACTATTTGATTCTTTAGGCTTTTATTTTAATTTATTAAAATGTTATTTATTAAATTTTTTTATTTTTTTTTTTTTTTTTTTGTAAGAAGCCCTAAAGGACACTATATATCATTGATTAAAGACATACAACATCTACAATTGACAATTAACGATAATGAAAACAGATATAACAAAATCATACAAGAATTCATCGGGGAAGGGCTAACAATCCAAATACATAAATATAACAATTCGGCACATTCTCGATTCGTTGTCTCATACAAATTTTTAAGTGAATAGTTCGTCGCTTCATAATTTTGTAAAAAAGAAAATTCTTGTACCGATTTTATAACCCGAATTCGGGCAATAATCAATCATAGCCCCGCACAACTGGAAACCACATTAAACACAAATAACACCTTGTCTTTCAAAAGAGTTCGAAAAACCTTGTCTTTCGAAGGAGATCGGAAAAAAACTTGTCTTTTGAAAGAGATCGAAAAAACCTTGTCTTTCGAAGCAGATAAACCCTTACTTTCGAGGGAGACATTATTATAACAAAAATAAATAAATAAATAAACTTAAAAGAAATAAAGATTGGGGCTTTTCACCGGTGAAATCTGATGAAAAGCCCCTTTGAAATTAACAATGGAGGCTAGAGTTTAGGAGAGAGGAGGCTAGCTAGGGTTTTTTTTATTTCAATGTAAATTGTAAAAATTCTTGTTCTCAGTTGGTTTAATTTTAACTAATCTGTTAACCGTTGATCTAAACTACTTAACCCATAATTAACCTATGTCACGCTCATTGTGTCAATGTCAATATTCATGCAACAAAATTGATCGGATAAAATTTGGGGAGTCATTTTAGTCCTTAAAGGTCATGTTTGAGCTCAAAAATAGCAAAAAAAAAAAAAATCATAATTAATGTCTTGGTTTGCATGCCTGAAAATTGTTCGGTTAATATTATGGGTATCTTTATGCCCCTTAAGAGTTACATTTGAGGTTAAAATTGGCAAAAAAAATAATAAAAAATATCTCCCGTAATTTGCGTGCCAAGAAATGTCAAGATTGCATGCCATCAGTTGTTTTTTAGGGATGCATGCCATAGGTTAATCAGGGGTTAATGGGTTAGTTAAAGTCAAAATGGATTTTTTAATAAATTAAAGTGTATTAAATTATAATAAAATTATGATAACCAATCAAATAGCAACACATGTAACACTAAACTTGTTAAACAGGTTACCAAAAATTATAACTTATTAAGGGGGATACCCCTTAAAGGTGGTATTATTTTTTGCTAATTTCTTATATAAATTACTTATTTTGTTAAATGAGCAAAAAAAAATGGGAAATTCTATATGGTAGCCTCCAAGATTTGAAAATTTCACATGGAAGACAAACTTTTTTTTAGTTCTATTGTGTGGCCCTATGGTTTTAGATAATTAAGTATAGTGTCATTTTTTTTGTTCTAAGGCTAACCATTATTAAATTTTATGGTTAACCATGGTTTTTTTATTAAGTAAATTGCTAATAACCCCTCATCTTCAATCCCCACCACCCTTCCCAGCCACCACACCCTCCCATCTCAGTTCCTCTCTCCGCCGCCAATAGCTGACTCCCAGCCTCATCCCCCACGCCGGCGCTCAACCTTCTCCCTTGCTGGCGACCCTACCCCCCCCCCCCCTCATTTCCCTAGCAGCCCGACACCCCCGCCATCCTTTTCCCCCACCTCCACCACGACGCCTCTCTCTCATCTCCTTCTCTTTCTTCTTCTCTCTCCTTCGCCCTACGCGCCTCCCTCGTTCCACCCCTTCTTCCGCTTTACTCTTCTTTCTCCTCCGTCCCTTACTCCGTCATCGATTAAATCATCGCCGCCGGTTATCACTGTGAGTGAGAAACATTTATCTCTTCCTCAATTTGGGCTAGGGTTAGGGTTTCAAGGGTGGTGGTTAGGTTTCAAAAAGTGTTTCTGGGTTTTCGAGTGGTTGGGTTTCAAAAGGTGGCTCGGTTTTGGGTGGTGGGGTTTTGAGAGGTGGCTAGGGCGCTAGTGTTGGCTGGGCAAGAAGGAGGGGTATTGGTCAGCGTTCAGGTTTTAAGTGTGTGGGGAGGGGCTGGGCGTTACGGTGGTTAGGGAAGGGGAAGGGAGGGAGTTCGAGGTGGCGTCGGCGCCAAGGGAGGGGGGTTTAGCCGCGCCAACACCGGGGAAGGGGGGTCTGGGCGCGCCGGCGACAGGGGCAGTGGGTTCGGCAGGTGTCGACTGCCGTGGGTGGCTGCTGGCTGATGATTTTTTTTTTTTAATTTTTTAATTACTCACGGTTGACAAAAATTTAAAAAGTTAGCAAAAAAATAAAAAAATTAGGTACTATGCTTAATTTTTAAAAACTTTAGTGCTACTTAAGAGAGTTGGAAAAAAGTTCGTCTTTCACGTGGAAAAATTAAATCCTTGAGGACACCATGTAGAATTTCCCAAATAAAATTGCTCATTTTGTGCAAATGAGTAAATGTGCATATTCGATAGGTGGTGTATTGTAAAATCGATTTTATGATAGTAATTTCCCTATTGGTGAAATTTATTTTACAAATAAAATTATTATTAAGTGATCATTATTTACGAGTACAATGTAGTACATTAAATGACATAGTTAGCGGCTACTAATATGGACGAAAATAATGCATTAGTATCATGCTTCATACCTATGATGTCAAGTAAGCAAAATTTGAATGGATTTATTAAGTAGATGTAGGCGTCATTTGTAGCGAGCATTAGTATCATGCTTCATATTTAAGCATGTGTGAATATGTTTGGCAATCATAGGAAGCAAAATTTGACATAATATGATTAGGGACAAAAAAGTAGGGAGCAACCAACAAGTTTTTTTTTAGGAACTTGTAAACCATTTACGGATCATTTAAAAGCAACCACGATAAGGTACAACGATAGGCAACAACGATTGACCCGTGAAGGTTACACCCCATTCATAATCCATGATATTACTTACTCCATATAGTTCAGAACCATGAAAGGAATGGTGTCTTTCGAACAAGTGTATTATTCCGATAGAGGGTTCAGAATCAATTACAGAGTTAATTATTCAGTGAAGTCAAGTAATCGGAAATTCGAACTAGAGGCCATCTCCGATCAGTGATATTAATTATATTAATCTCACAGCTTTCCTTTTAACTGAACCCAGCAAGTCACACCCAAGCGTGCAACCGAATTAAGGCGACGAATTAAGCCGAAGGTCTTAATACGTCAAACAAGAGGATACGTGTTCCGACGTTAGATTCCGAGCTTAGAGTGTCGAAGACGAACGTCGAGTTAAATTCTAAGAATTAACGACAAATAAGTCAAACAACAATAAATAAGTCAAAGTGCATAGTCTTAGCCTCACATTGGCCTAGCCATGCAAGGGTTAGGCTAGCATGGGCTATCGCAAGGCAAGCACCAGCCGCAAGCCTAGCATGGTGCACACTCGCACTAGCTAGGCCTATTGGCCGGCACATGTCGCAAGCCAAGCACTAGCCGAGTGCGGGCTGCACCATCGCAAGCTAGCAAGGTCAGCAGCTAGGTGCGCGGCGTGCTTGGCCTAGCTAGCAACTGCTACGGCTAGTAAGCAGTAGCAGTGCCCAACAGCGGCAGCAGCCCGCAAGCATGCGAAGCTTGCTACGCTGTGATGGGCCTTGCTGGCTGGCCCAACTAAGAGCACAAAGGCTGCCAGCTTAGCGCACCTTGTTGCTCAAGGTAGGTCAGCCTGGCCGATTGCTAT